CGACCCTGTTTGTCAGCAGGCACCTTTTGACAGGTCACAATAAACCTTGGATTTGGCGTTTTCCACCCAAAAAAAAAAAAAAATCTTATCCTTTGGTGTGAAAAATACTTTTCTTTTTTTTCCCCTTATAATGTTTCATTAAACATTTATCTTTATAAGATTGACTAACTTTCCTGGGCATGATAGTCCCTAGTTTTGTCCATGGTTTGCAGTGTTTGACAACGTTGTCATTTTTTTATGGATGCATGACATCCCGCTGCATGAATGTACCAGAGTTTGGCTGTCCATTCCTCCATAATTGGAGTGTGGGGTGGTTTCCATCTTTTTGCTCTTATGGAAGTTGCTGCAGGAAACAGCAATGTGGGGGTGTCTGTTTGAATTGGGGTTCTTTATTTCTTTGGGGCATAGACCCAGTATGTGTACTCTCCACACCCCCTCCAGCATTGATTAGTTCCTGAATTTTGCTAAGCGTGTCGATGCGAGGTGGTAGCTCATTGCTGTTGTACTTTGTATTGCTAACAAACACACACATTTCTTCATAGGATTGTTGGCCGCCTGAATGTCATCTTTGGTAAATTATCTACTTGTTTCTGACGCCCACTCTTTGCTTGCATGATTTGTATTTTTCTTATTGACGTATTGTAGTTTTCTAAAGATTTTTGAAATTAGCTTTTCCCAATCTGTGGGTTCTCTTTTAACTCTTTGATGAAGTCGTTTGATGTGGCATTTTTAGAAGGCCCTAGTCCTTCGTTCTGTCTTCTCTGGCATGGACACTTTTTCTCACTGTTTGGTAGTGTACTCTTGTCTTGTTTTGGGGCCCCTTACGTTTGTCCTTATGGTTTGCATTAATGCGTTTAAATATAATTCTTGAAGGGGAGCTGGGGAAGCCTCTGGAGCCTTGCTTGAGAATTACAGTTGGTTTGCAGCTGTAACTGCCTTCTCTTTTTTCCCCAGGTGCTGAACTGCACTGTCAAGATCAGTAAGTCCTCCTTTCTCTTCCTTGTTGTTACTTCCTTAATAGCGCAGTGACCTCCTGCTGACATCTGACGGGGGCTCTGCCCTCCACCTGGGGGTGAGGATATGGGTCTGACTGTCAGCAGGAGGCATCCTTGGGGTTCCCAGCCAGAATATTTGAGATGCAAAAGTGAGACAATAAGAAACCAAATTGTCCCCCTGGAAGGTGAAAGTATTCTCGAGGTGCTGCTCTAGTGAATCTAGAATATGATTTGATTTGCCGCAGCTTGGCACTGTCAACGCCAGAACTCTCTTGCTGGTCGGGCTTTTGTTTCAGTTCTAGAAGGAGGCCACCGCTTCGAATCGGTGTCTGTGCTCACGAATTAAAGAGCCCTGAAATATAAAAAAATGAAATACCTCTTATCACCACCCCATCCTTCCTCTGCTCCCATCTCCAACTACTGCTTCACCTCTAAACCAAGTTGTATGGTCCATCTTCTCTCCTAAGATGCCCTGAAGACTTCAGAGCTTCCAGGTGGCTGCCAGGCAAAAGGTCTGGCTGAGGGTTGTGAGAGAGAAGGCTGTCAGACCTGAGCTGTATCAGACCCAATGGGGCATCTCAGGAGCTGGGCTGCAGTCTCTAATGTGCCGGCACCTCTTCCCTGGCTGCTAGGCTCCTGTCTGGATGGCAGCTGGATCTCCATTCAAAACCTGACCCCCTCATCCCCCAAAAATGTCCAGACCCAGCTGTGCTTGGTCCACACCCAGGATGGAGCCCTGGTCCCTGTGATTCACATCAAATGGACATTGTCAACAGACGGTGAGTAGGGTTAAGGGGGCCAGGGGGGCAGGGGGCTTTGTCCATCTCTAAGTGAATCCAGTCTACACCTGTTCTACAGACTCCACACTCAGAATCAGACTTTCAGCCCTGAGCCAAGACACAAGGGCCCAGCTGCATCAAGAACGGAAAGGCGTATTGTTTCCGTGTGCCGGTGCCGTCAAGTCTGTTGAACTCATAGCAGGTGGAACAGTGTAGATCTGTCCCCCCAGAAGGTCGTCCTGGCCCTGTGGGAGCACCTTGTCAGGTCTTTTCCTGAGGGAGCACTGGGCAGGTTCACACTGCCAGCGTTGAGGTTAGCATCTCCTCATTCTCAAGGAAAAGCACAAAATCTTCAGCACCTTGGGAAGGGAAAAAGAAGCCAGCTGGTAAATTGCATGATTACTGCCGCCGCAGCAGCAAGTTCCGACTTCCGTCCAGTCTAGTCCAGCTCGTGACAACTCAGTGTGTGTCAGAGTGGTGTTTTAGGACGCCAAGGAGACCCCAGATCTCAAAATATAAAGAGAATATTTATTAAGACGTAGACACAGGAAAAGACAAGACAAAGATACATCATGCAGTTGATGGAGACCCTTAGCAGGAGGTTGTAATGGCATCCAAGAGTGAGCAGAGATGCCGAGGCTTTGAAAGGACATGGGGGCAAAGAAAACTGTCATAGAA